AGCGTCCAGTACACTGAAGTACTGTGCTCCGGCTAGTCTTGGTGTGACATCATCTAGAGTGGGAAGTGGATAGTGGGGTCTCTGGATAGCTTTGTTTAGGGGGCGGGGATCTAAACACACCCTAAGCTTTCCTGTTTTCGGCTTTTCCACTGCCACTAGTGCATTCGCCCACTCAGTCGGCTCTGTTACCTTTTGGATTATATCCATTTTTTTCCATTTCGTCAAGCTCATCTTTGAGTCGGTTGCGCAGGGCATATGGGATACGCGAGGTGGGCACACCACCGGTATTGCTGAGGGTTTAAGGCGAAAGGTGCATTCTCCAGGGAAGAGTCCAATGCCTTTAAATACGTCAGCAAACTCTTCTGTGATGCTGGTGTGTGTTTTTGGCCGTGCGTCAACCATGTGCACTAGCTTGACCAAGTTTAGGTCTAAACATGCACGTAGGCCCAAAACAGGAGGAGCATTTTCTGCATACACTATGTCAAAATCTAACATGGCTGTTTTCTGCCTGTATCTGCATGCTAACTTGCAAGCTCCTTTTACCTCAAGTCTCTGTCCACCATATCCTGAGATGTTGCTGTCTGACGGACCTAATGCAATACTTCCTAATATTTTGTGAAATATATTCACTGGTATCACATTGGCCTGGGCATCTGTGTATCTATCTTGAGCTTTAGCTTGTGCTTCGCCTTTCCTATTTCCACCTCTGCGAATGCCTGTTCCCTTGTTGTATTTTCGTGCTTTTTTATAATAGTGTCAATATACAGATCCACTGGTGCTTGTTCCGTGCTTTCTGAAACAGCATGGACTTTCTTGGGCTTGTATTTTGATGGCTGATAGTGTTTTTGTCCTACACATATTAGCAAAGTGGTTGGGCTTTTTGCATTTGTTACACTGACGTCCTTTTGCGTGGCATTCCTCCGTGCGACCGTGTTCTCGCATGCTCCACACTCTTTGCCGACAGTTATTTTGCGTCTGTGGTATCTTTGTTCGGAACTGAACGGCCTTCTGCTAACTGCATGAACAGACTGGCTAGCTGCATTAGCGGCTGGGCAACCCATAGTCTTTAGCTGCTGTTGTGATAGCTCCTGTGAGCGTGCAATGTCAATCGCTTTCTCGAGCGTTAGATCTGGACCGTGACGGAGTAGTTTTTCCCGGACTCTTGGAGAGTTTGCACCGAAAACGATCCTGTCTCTAATCATCTCATCACCGTTAGGGTAGTTGCAGTCTTTTACTAGCAGCTTTAGCTCAGTCACAAACTGGTCGAAATTTTCACAATCCTTCTGTATCTTTTCGTGAAATTTATATCGCGCGAAAATGGGGTTAGCTTTGGGCGTTACATATGCTTCAAACTTCGCATAGTATGTTTGGAGTACCTTTCTCTCATCTGCCGTGAGGGTCCATGTATTATATCCATCTCTGCCTTTTTCACAGATCCACAGGAGTAGATAGCTGCACTTTTGTTCCTCCTCTTTAGCGCTTAGCGGCCGGAGAACATTAGCTCCACATGCTGGCGAAACTTTCTCAATGCGTCGGGCAGGTTAGATGAATCCCAATCCATCCGTGGCGTGGGAACGCCTGTGTTCTCCATCTTCCGTCGTCAGGTCGAAGTGAGAACCAAATCTATTCTGACACCATGTAATATTCTATTTCTACTGACATTTAAGTGTCTAAGTATAACGAATGATACCAGTTTGTCTCATAGGGCGCGGTGGGCGTCCATCTTTGTTCGTATCGTATTTTACACTCACTGGCGCACATCGGTGACATCATCACAACGTGACGGTTACATGAACCAGAAGTATCCAAGATATTACAACCATGACACTCAAAGCCCATATTTTTGTTAGGAGACAAACTGTAGCTAATATTTGTGGCTTAAATTACAGACCAGTAGTTAAAATGGACGGAATAGGAGACGGATTTCAAATTCTTGACCTTACAGACCCCGAATTCATCTTTCCTCCTACTGCAGCAGGAGATCGACATTATGTTGGATTCTCGGGCTTTTGGGAATTTATCAATCATGGAATCCTCCCCCTAAGGATTGTAGACCAGTTCTCGCTTATGGCCGAAGATGCAAATAGGAACGGTGACATCGATGAAAACCTGAACAACGATGAAATCGAGGACAACAATGAAGACCAGGAGGATGACAACCAAGATGTCAATAATGACAACATGGATAATATTGTCAACATTGGCAACAATGACGGCATCAACAACGACAATGTAGATACCAACACTTACAATCGCAATCTTGATAACAATAATGAAGAAGTGGCTGGTCCATCCAAGAAACGGAAGAGAAAGACTAACAGAGTAGAAGAGGAGAGGAGCAGCAAAAAAAAGGAGATGGTGGGATGAGTCTGCTGAAAGCAACACCGACAGCACCGACTTCAACAAGGAAACTGAAACTAGTCCAATCGAACACGGTAAAGTTCCTGAAGACGATCCTCTGCCCTGTCCATCCAAGAAACGGAAGAGAAAAACTAACAGAGTAGAAGATGACAGACAGTTTTATGTACTGAGTGAGTCAGACAGACAGACAGTTTTATGTACTGAGTGTTTCTACTGACATTTAAGTGTCTAAGTAAAATTAATGATACTTAAATGTCAGTAGAAACAGAATATTACAGTGTTGTTTTCTTATGTCTTTGAGGGAAACATGGGGTGGGTACACATGCAGTTCTGACATTGAACAGTGGGTGGCACATTAACCTAAAGTGCATATATGTAAGTGCCTGGTAATAAGAATCAGGTGTGTGTGGGCGGGAAGCTAACAGTTTTTGACCTTGTCAAGGTGGCGTGTCAACCGGTGTGTCAGCCAGCATGTCAGCCAGCATGAAAGCTTGGAGTTTCAAGGTCTTATATCATCCCATCAAGTAACCTGTGGTATTCTGTTATGGTGTCAATATGCATTTGAATAAATGGATCAAGGATCGAAAGAAAGACAGCACATTGGACAGTGAAATGTTTGTGGAACACGCGTCCGAACAAGTTCTCCCGTTCGCCCCCCAGTGGCTTTAATATATAAAATGGATGTTTGTTAAAGTCAGTACACGTTCTTTATTGGGTTTACGGTGTCAGACTGGACTGGGCCGTGCGCGTGGGTTTGGTGAGGTCTGCCGTCTTCTCCGTCACACTGCCAGTCTGTGTCTCTTGCCCCGATTCTCGCGCGTCTGTCACTACTAGTGTTTTTATATCAGAGAGAGACAATTTAATATGGCTTTCAGCTGCGCCTAATTAAGCCTCTTCGCTGCACCATTCCCTGAACCACACCCCCACTCTGTCCCCTCTGCAGCTGAGCCCGACCACGCCCCGCCACCACAATCACTATCTGCTATATTGCAATGCAGTAATTGCTGTAACCAAGCCATCATTAAAGGAATAGTTGGATGTTTTGTAAATATGATTAATCACTTTATGAACAAGAGTGAGATGAGAGGATCAGTATTTGTCCCTGCTAGTTGCCTAGCAACCTTAGATGACGAGACTCAAGGAAGTCACTACAGCCAGAACTCTCAAGTGTATAAATTGAACTCTTACACATTGTTAATGGCATGTAACCAGTGGGGCCCATGTGACCTCTTATAATAAAGCAGGGTATTTTCAGATACAGCACATTGAGAATGCCTTCTTTATTTTGTGTAAAGTGTATTGAGAGTGTATTGATTTTACACTCAAAATAAACATCCTTACTTAAGACAGCACTGACAGGAAAAAAGATCAAAAGATGTAGTGAGCTGGAAAACTCAAATATATGAAGAAAGTAACTTATAAAACAGGAAACTTAGAACACAGATATAAACAGAAAGGTTTGCTCAGCAGTTTTGGTGTACGTGTGTGTGTATATATATATAAAAAGAATATATACTTTGTATGGAGGTCTATGTATAGATCTCCATATAACACATACATGCATGTGTTTGTACTGTCTACACACCCTGGGTTAATATTGAAAATTCAATACAAATATTTGCACAATTATGCTGATGAAAGTAGATTTGGTAGAGGGACCCGTCAACAAGGCATGCTCATGGGTAATAATAATAATAATAATGCAGGAGTCACCTGAGATGATACAGTGCTTCAGTGATGGAGTGACTTACAGTATGTACCGTCTCCTTCTGAAGCCTGCAGGTTTATCTTTTGTCCTCATGCTTTACATGTTCTCTGAAATGTGTGATAAATGATTATAAAGTCTAGAAATAATCTTCAAGCATGGCTTTTAATTGAAAGTGTTTACAGTCAAACCCAACTTCAAACGTGTGAAGTGCTCCACTTGGAGGGATCTGTAAACAAACGTACCGTTTCTGTATTAAATGAAGACTGTGTGGGCAGATGAATGCTAACCACTCACACATTTTCTGGACATGTATAAAAATATAAGCATTCTGGGACAGGGTTATTCAGACTCTGGAGGAGATTCTATGCTACAAGATTCCCAGAGACCCCCGGATTGTGTACCTGGGATTGATCCTTGGCGACATAATTTAAAAAAAGGACTTCTACCTCTTTAAAATTCAGATACTTGCAAGTAAAAAGGCCATCACAAGGAGCTGGTTGAAAAGTGACCCTCCAAGTCCAGGACAGTGGCTGGACATTGTGGAGGAAATATACTATGGAAAAATTGACTATTTTTCTAAGGATCAAAGCAGGGATCCATGATCAATGCTCGAGAAAATGGACTGTTTACAAGGGAAAAGATGAGTAGTGTTCTCAGGTGACCTGAAAAGAGTAGATCAATGTTTGTCAAGAGTGAATGGTGACCCTTTTATTTTATTTTATTTTCACTTTTATGTCCATTTGTAGTTTTGTCATTAACGATGTTTTGTTCAGTGTAACAGCAACTGAAAAAAAGAAATTAAAAAAAAATATGAAGACTTCAGAATGTCTGTGAATCAAAGAGTCCATCTACTTAAAAGAGTCTTTCACACTATTATTATATATTTTGCCTTTGTTTTTGAAGTTGTCAGATGAAGCACTCAGGAGACCACTTAAGGAGGGTTGTTTTTATTTGGTTCATAAAGGTCATCAGGGCCAGCGTACAGTCATCTGAAGTAAGATACTGACCTGTGAAAACGCCTTTTATGCATGTGACACGAGTAACAGCTACTACAGGTTGGATAAAGATTACATACTTAACAGATTCTCTTTAAGACAAACATTTTGAAGGCAACATTTCCTCTTTACCGAGTGAGCTCCAGAAAGACGCCTCCTTAAGAGCTCTTCTTCTCCTCAAACATGATGTTGGCTGTGGCTCTCTTGGCTGTGGACAAATTACACACAAACGTCACATCTCTGGTTCCTTATCTAGAAATATACTGAAAAGTTACACTTCCTGCGGATGTTTCACATTAAAAGCCCACCAATAAAGGGAGTGAATGACATTTTCCATTTGCTGTTCATGTGAAATATCGGTGCTGGAAATGTTGAGTTTCTTTGAAATAAGCTAAACTCTAAATCAAATGAATAAATGCAATAAAGGCAAAGTATAGGCCACTTCCTCCAAAGGCTTTTCTTATTCACTAATGAATAGTGAATAAGAAAAGCCTTTGGAGGAAGTGTGTTTTACAGAAAATTATACCAGCAGCATATCAGAAAACAGGGATGCTTCTTAATAAAACATATTTTACAAGAATTATGTATAAAACAGATGTAATTAGAAAAGAATACAAAACTATTTAAAATAAAGGTCTCATTCTGTCTGCAGTCTAGGTCAATAATTGTTATTTACATGCTAAATCCTTAATATTTAATTACACAGTTAACCATCACAGTGTGAAATAAGGTTTTACTGACCTCGTTATCCAACAATATTCAGTAAATTATGAGATCAGGACATCATTTATGCTTCTATAGTCTCTGATAATGTTACATTGGAAACAACCAATCAGTGTTTAAATGAACAGGAGAACGAAGGTTCCGTTCAGTTACATTATGATGCGTTCAGGCTCTGTTCAGTCAAAGGTAAATTATGACGTTATCATGATGTGTTCACATGTAATCTCGTAAACTGTAGTGTTAGTGAGAAACTTGAATAAATCCAGATGTTTGAAGGAGATGTTTTCACAACATAAATAGATATTAGAGCTGAACTATGAGCTGTTAACACTAGCTCTCTAAGCAGATTATAATACATCATTAAAACTACTAATGACATGATTTGATTTAATCAATGAAAATACAATCTTTTATTTCCTTATCATTTGAATTGTGTATTTTTTATGAAGAAAAAAAACACGATAGATGGCTATAACAAAGTAAAAGGATAACATTTAAAATTGTTGATGGTTTACTGCCTTCAGAGCGGTTAAATGATTTTTTAGACGTGGTAAATAATAAATAGTCTGGATCCTTGTAGACCAGGTGCTATAATCAAACAACAAAGAGATCTGCATCTGAAAATATGGATCATCAATGATCTGCAATTAGTATCGGAGGCAAAAAAAAAAGGTAAAAGTTATATTTCCTCTCTTTTTCTATATTTATTTGTTCCCTTTTACTAAAAAACCCAATCATTCCAGTATGGGTCGACTCTATTTACAGTAAACAACACACTCACCCTCATCTTTGATCTTATCAGCAGCTTCTGACGCCTTATCCTGGAGCGTCTTCACCGCATCATCAATCCTGGTTTCATTCTTGAGGAAAAATGGTCGAATGATGCGGTTATAAATCTGGATTGATCCATTGGAGGAAGTCGGAGCCATGCACCACACCAAGAAGGCACACTGGGGGGAAAGGAAGAGAGAACATACATGCCAGTTACATTATAGGCTGTAAAATATATGATCACAAATCAGTCTGATCATCTGTCCCTCAAATCGTAAAAAGACAAACTCAGTAAAAGAATCCTAATCCTAATTAGATGCCCAAACCACCTCAGCTGACTCCTTTCGACGCGAAGGAGTAGCGGCTCGACTCCAAGCTCCCTCCTGATGACCGAGCTCCTTACCCTATCTCTAAGGCTGAGCCCGGCCACCCTACGGAGGAAGCTCATTTCGGCCGCTTGTAGCCGCGACCTTGTCCTTTCGGTCATGACCCAGAGTTCGTGACCATAGGTGAGGGTAGGAACGTAGACCGAGTGGTAAATTGAGAGCTTTGCCTTCCGGCTCAGCTCCCTCTTCACCAAGACGGTCTGGTGCAGCGCCTGCTTTACTGCTGCAGCCGCACCAATCCACCTGTCGATCTCCCACTCCATCTTACCCTCACTCGTGAACAAGACCTCGAGATACTTAAACTCCTTCGCTTGAGGTAGGCACTCCGTCCCCACCTGGAGGGAGCAATCCACCGGTTTCCGGCAGAGAACCATGGCCTCAGATTTGGAAGTGCTAACTCTCATCCCCGCCGCTTCACACTCGGCTGCAAACCGCCCCAGTGAATACTGGAGGTCATGATCCGAAGAGGCTAACAGGACCACATCATCTGCAAACAGCAGAGAGGCAATCCCGAGACCCCCGAACCTGACGTTCTCCGCCCCGAAGCTGCGCCTAGATACCCTGTCCATGAAAGTCACGAACAGGACCGGTGACAAAGGGCAGCCCTGGCGGAGGCCAACACCCACCGGGAACGTGTCTGACTTATTACCGAGAATGTGGACACAGCTCCTACTGCAGTCGTACAGAGACCGGATCGCCCGTTGTAACGGGTCCGGCACCCCATACTCCCGCAGCACCCCCCACAAGAACCCCCGAGGGACCCAGTCGAAAGCCTTCTCCAAGTCCACAAAGCACATGTAGACTGGTTGGGCAAACTCCCAGAACCCCTCCAGTAGTCTTGCGAGGGTAAAGAGCTGGTCCACTGTTCCACGGCCGGGACGGAATCCGCACTGCTCCTCTTGAATCTGAGGTTCGACAAGCGGTCGGAGCCTACTTTCCAGCACCCTGGCATAAGCCTTCCCCGGGAGGCTGAGTAGTGCGATACCCCGGTAATTCGAGCACACTCTCCGGTCCCCCTTTTTGAAGATGGGAACCACCACTCCGGTCTGCCATTCCATGGGCACTGATCCCGACCCCCATGCGACATTGAAGAGGCGTGTCAGCCAGGACAGCCCAACTATGTCCAGCGCTTTCAGCATCTCAGTGCGGATCTCATCCACCCCAGGCGCCTTGCCACCAAGGAGCTTTTTAACTACCTCAGCGACCTCTGCCAGGGATATGGGTGAGCCTCCCCCTAGGTCCTCAGGCGCTGCCACATGTTGGTCGGGTTTAGGAGTTCCTCAAAGTGCTCTTTCCACCGCCCGACGATGTCGCCCGTCTGGGTTAGCAGTCCCCCCCCCCCCCGCTGAGAACAGCCTGGGGTAAGCCCTGCTTTCTCTTCCTGAGCCATCGGATGGTTTGCCAGAACCTCCTTGAGGCCAACCGAAAGTCCTTCTCCATGGCCTCCCTGAACTCCTCCCATGTCCGAGTTTTAGCATTCGCGACCACTGTAGCTGCAGCCCTTCTGGCCTGCCGGTACCCCTCAGCTGCTTCAGGAGACCCCTGGGCCAACCAGGCCTTGAAGGTCTCCTTCAGCTTGACGGCTTCCCTCACCTCCGGTGTCCACCACCGGGATCTCGGGTTGCCGCCACGACAGGCACCGATGACCTTCCGGCCACAGCTCCTAGCGGCCGCGTCCACAATAGAGGCTTTGAACATGGTCCATTCGGATTCCGTGTCCCCAACCTCCCTCGGGATGTGTGAGAAGTTCTTCCGGAGCTGGGAGTTAAAGACCTCCCCGACAGGGTCCTCCGCCAGACGTTCCCAGTTCACCCTCACTACACGTTTGGGCTTGCCGGGTCTTTCCAACCGGTTCCCCTGCCATCGGATCCAACTCACCACCAGGTGGTCATCAGTTGACAGCTCTGCTCCTCTCTTCACCCGAGTGTCCAAGACATATGGCCGCAAATCAAATGATACGATTACAAAGTCGATCATTGATCTCCGGCCTAAGGTGTTCTGGTACCAGGTACACTTATGAGCCACCTTATGTTCGAACATAGTGTTCGTTATGGCCAAACCGTGGCAAGCACAGAAGTCCAATAACGAATCACCATTCGGGTTCAGATCAAGCAAGCCGTTCCTCCCAATCACCCCCCGCCATGTTTCTCCGTCATTGCCCACGTGAGCGTTGAAGTCCCACAGGAGAACTATGGAGTCGGTAGGCGGCGCCCTTTCCAGGACCCCTCCCACCGACTCCAAGAAGGCCGGATTATCCGAACTGCTGTTTGGTGCATAAGCACAAACCACAGTCAGAGCCTTGCTCCCCGCAACCCGTAGGCGCATGGAGGCGACCCTCTCATTCTCCGGGGAGAACTCCAACACAGCCGGGGGCTCGTGAGTATCCCCACTCCCGCCCGGCGACTCTCACCCTGGGCAACTCCGGAAAAGGACAAAGTCCAACCCCTCTCCAGGACTTGCTTCCAGAGCCAACGCTGTGTGTGGAGGTGAGTCCAACTATATCTAGCTGGTATCGCTCCACCTCCTGCACCAGCTCCGGCTCTTTCCCCGCTAGCGAGGTGATGTTCCACGTCCCTAGAGCTAGTCTATGCTGCCGGCGATCGACATGCCCAGGCCTCCCGCCCGACCTGCCGCCCGGTCTGCCAGAACTAATTCTGTACCGAGCTGCCGTCATGAAACTACACAACATGGTGATTCATTGCATAACAAAATATTTTTTATTTAATTGATGGTGCAACGGTAATTATTTATAGCTCTGTCATGCTACTACAATGTATGTATAAGTACACATAAGTACACATACACTGTGTGACTGCTGCTGTTACACCTTTACACAGATGAGTAGACTATTCACCAACATGTCTATCTGCTTCAAACCGCTGGTATCAGAACAGATGTACCAGTAAAACATCTCAATGACAAACATGTCAAAACACAACCACACACACAAAACTATCAGAGGATAAAATAAGCCAACAACATTGTTCTCCAAAAATATATTTTGAAATATTTTGAAACATGTCAAGAGAGGGTAAAGAGTTCAAGTTAAGTGTAAAGAGTTCAAGTTAAGTATGCGTTTTAAGCTAGCAGAGCTTGAAAGGAACAGATAGATTCAGCATGCAGCTGTTTGGGTGAGTGCAGTAATGTGACAGTAAACTGGTTATGTACTGCAGTAATGTGACAGTAAACTGGATATGTACTGCAGTAATGTGACAGTAAACTGGTTATGTACTGCAGTAATGTGACAGTAAACTGGATATGCACTGCAGTAATGTGACAGTAAACTGGTTATGCACTGCAGTAATGTGACAGTAAACTGGTTATGCACTGCAGTAATGTGACAGTAAACTGGATATGCACTGCAGTAATGTGACAGTAAACTGGATATGTACTGCAGTAATGTGACAGTAAACTGGATATTTACTGCAGTAATGTGACAGTAAACTGGTTATGTACTGCAGTAGGAAAGTATGTAAAGCAGGACTTTTTGTGCCGTGTTACCACCATTCATATTTATACTACCAATGGGTTTATGATTAAATTGTTAAGTAGAGCACAGTGTAAAAATAATCTGTTAAAAGTACAAGTCCTGCATTCAAAATATTATTGGTAAAAGTACAAAAGTATCAGCAAAATATACTTCAAGTACCAAAAGTGAAAGTACACTCATTATTCAGAATGGCCAATTTCAATGAATGTATTTTATTATATTGAAGCTTAAAACTGTATTTCAGTGGTCATGTACATAGAGGCACAAACATTAATCCTTAGCATTTAGCGTGTAGGGAGTAACTTTGGGTTCAGTGCACTAAGACATGCAGACAGAGGGAAGCAGGGTTAGACCTGTGTTCTGGTTTAAGGACCACCACTCTACCCACCGCAGTAGGCCCAGTTATTCATGCATTACGACTTCATCACTTTAGCTTGTAAAGGTGGAGCTCATTTATTACTTTACATACTTAATAATTAAGTGATATACTACTTAATAATACATCATAGTTTATTAGCTGATTTGTATCTTCTAGTAACTAATATTGTCAAATAAATGTAGTGAATGTTTCCCTTTCAGATGTGGTGGACTAGAATCAGTGGTAAAAGTGAGCTGGTACTCACTTGTCATGCAGTACCAGCACTTCTACGTTGTACTCTTTGGCGTACCGTGCCTTTTCATGTACACAGGCACTTCTAAAAGCTGCTGCTACTATTTTCTGCCCTCTCCATATCAGGTTATCTGGGCCATTCATAATGGCTGGCGCAGTGCCAGCATCTATGCAGCCAACCTCATGAGCCGCATGAACATAAAAACAATGTGGAGAGCACCTGGACGAACCAAGGCATGACACCGAGGACAGGGCGTGAGAACCAGGGACCCAGAACACCCATAATATTACAGGACAAACATTTACAGGAGAATTAAATGTTCAGACAAACACTTAAACACTTTGAGTGTTAACACTATGGGTAAATATTAGTGCTGGGCAACGATTAATATATTTAGTCGCGATTAATATATTTAGTCGCGATTAATATATTTAGTCGCGATTAATATATTTAATCGCGATTAATATATTTAATCGCATTTAATCGCATGGATTTTTTGCGATTAATCGCATTGTTATGGCAAAGTTCAATAATGAATTTCAAAAGTAGTGTATTGCGCACTTTTATTTTAAATGTACTGCTATATGAACAAAAGTGCAATAACATTTGGTTCACGAGATGCAGGTAGCATGTTTTATACTTAATGTGAATATAATTCATACTTGTTGGCATCTTATTCTGAAAACCGGATGTTTGTATGATGTAACACACCCATTCTAGTGAACAGCGGTGCTCAATGTGGACAGAGTCCACTGTTTGACTCCCTCAGCCATAGACTGTATATCAGAAGTGGATCGAGTCACCGTGATGTCACCCATTGGTTTGTGGACTGATGTTTTGAAGCCTAGAGATCGCCATTTTCACCGTCACCATCTTGGTTTTTGGAACCAGAAGTGACACCAGAGGATAGAGCTGAGTACAACCGAACGCTGAACAAGACATTTTAGGCGACCAAAATATTATAATTAACTTTAATGAAGTGAAAACAGACTGTGAAAGGGTTCTAAGTTCTAAGACAGAAAACACGGAAAACTCTGTGGTTGTGACCTGTCAAGGACAAGGTAGCCACGCCCTAAAGCACACCATGGTTTATCTTATCTTAAACACATTTTCTCCAAATGGGACCATACTTTTGAAGTGAAGAAGACTTGAAACTGGAGATTGAGACCATACATGTTTACTGAGGTAATAAATCAAGAGAGAACAGGACTTTACTCTAGTGAGGTGCTGGCTCACTGGTAAGATATCAAAGTCAGGAGGGGAAAGCTGCACACTTAAATCAACTTATTCTTAGTTTTAAGAATGAATGAATTTTCCAGCACAAAACATTGATTCAAAAACAAAGAAGCACAACAGACCCCGGCTGGATTACCTTTCCGATATAGTAGAATGGGAACCAGGAAAGGAAGATATCAGCAAAAAACTCAGCCACACTGAAGAGTCCATACACCACCCAGTAGGTCAGCCACTTAGTATCATCGTCCTTGGTGGCACTTTCAATGGCCTTAATCCTGGAGAGAGGACCAACATGTAAGAGAAAAGATTAAGTTAAGTTAACATTAGTCAATCCATCTCTTCCATCCTTCCTTTTTTGTTCTCTCTTTAAAGCCTTACCTTACATCGTAGTCCTTTTCCTTCCATATACCCTGACTACTTTAACAGGTTTGTTACAGGAAATCCAACATCTGCAAAATGAGACTGAATTGAGTCGCCTGCCCTCTAAAGACAAGTCATCAAACCTACCTGAATGACAAAGTAGTCTGTCAGGGCCTTCCAACATGACCGCCTGAGTGTTTGCTGATCTGTCACCTCTAAAGCGATGGTTCTGGTCAGTGAGAGCTAGTCATGGATAAAAGTGTCTAAAGGAGGCTGTAGAGAGAAGGGAACCAAAACACAATCTCTTCTGAGTTTGTCCTTTTTTCGACGGTCCAAGGACAGATGATGTTGTACAGATTTTAAAGCCCTCTGAGGCAAATTTATGATTTGTGATATTGGGCTATACAAATTAAATTGAAATTAAATTCATTCATCTGTGGCAAGGACAAGCACATATTTTTTCAGTAGCCTTTCTTTCTTTCTTTTGACAGATAATATGGATTCAAATGCACCAACTTTTGGTGAATGTTCCAGTAAAGTAAAAGATGTGGGAATAATTTCCTGATGGTGGAAATAGAGCAACTATCAAAACTGTAAAACTGCTGCTCGGACACTGCATGTAAATCGTGTGCTGGTTTGAAGTCTCCTACAGAGTTAAAATACTGTAGTGTTATACAATTCCACAAAAGTTTATTATGTGTTATCACAGATGATTTGTCCCGTGATGTTCTAACACATTGTTACCATATCCTTATCACCATCTTGAATACAATAAAAATGTTCATTGATGCCTGTCCATATGTTCTCTACTGGCTCTAATTGTACCGTAGCTTAATTTTACCTTCTGTCTTACTGGTTTGAGTACCAGATAAAGTGAGCTTTTGGCTCTAGTTAACTGCCTGTCCATTCTCCATACTTTCATAACAGCTGCTGATTGACCCTACCCTCCTTTACAACTCACTACGGTCACTGCTGTGGTCAAACAGATCCTCTGCACAACTAAAGCAGCTTCCAGCCTCTCTTCACTCCCTCTTACATTCAATACTAATGCAGTGCCTGTTTGTGGCACGGCCGTTTGGAGCAGGCCGTTTTGCTTTGTCCCCCGGAAATGCTGCTTGCAGCATTCTCGCTGAACTGCTCGACTCATCCGCAGAGCCCTGAAGCTCCACTCCAGCTGCCACAGTCTGTCTGCAGGCTGTCTGCTTGTTTATTCAAAGTGAATTAATAAGGACCAACACACGGCAGTTCGTTTAATAGTTACAAAATGCAATCTATTGGTTTCGTGTATAGGGACACAAACTGTCCGGTTTCCTTCGTGTCCCTTGGTGTTAAAACTGAAAGTTAGGTTAAGACAACAAAACCATCTAGTTAGGTTAAGGAAAAACATCATGGTTGGCCTAAAATAACTACATACAGTCAGGTTTAGGTAACAAAACCATTATTAGTTAGGTTTAGGTAACAAAACCACAATATTACATTTAGGAATACTGTCACGGACATTTTGGAAAACCACAACGTGGTGTTGAACACTGGTCTTCTGGATGAAAGTCATGTTTGTTGGAACCGTCCACCGTGGATATTATAAAGTACGTCACTTGCTCTGACTGTTGCTTAGTCATGTGGATGCATTTAATGTGTGTCCACCACGAATAAGGCTCCTTATTGACTTTCCATTTATATTATTTTCATCCTGAGCGATTGCATTTCGTGACTATTTCAGGAACTGCACTGATACTGGGCTGGAAGGACACACACACACAGACAGACAGAGATTCTGTGCGTTATAGCGTCGGATTACAGAGACACATGGTGGTTTCCTGTTCTCTTGTTCCTGTTCGTTTTGGTTAATCTTCCCGGATGTCAAACACACAGACGTATTAAAGGGTGTGTGCAACAGCATTGGAGAAAAAAAAAAAGAGCAGTTATTTGTTTTTTCTTGAAGTTTGTTTCCAATAGAAGTCTTTATGATGAATTTATTCTCCCTGAGGCCTGTTGGTCGCAGTATAAAAGCTCCTCTGTGTTTCAGTCACATGCATACCCTGCTGTTTCACTACAGCAGCTTCAACAGTCCACAACACACCGGGAGGAAATGTTGGGCTGTCTGGGCTCAAATGGTTATGTAGCCGATGTTGATGTTGAACATGTGAACAGTGAACCAATACTAAGGCCTCTAGTTTCACAGCTATGTGGTTGCGGCCGTACGTGCAGAGCTGGAGGTAACAAAGCCGGCCCTCTGCCAGCTATCTCGGCTGCAGATATCATGAACCTCATCACAGATTGACAGAAGTTCATCCGTCAAATTTCAGTTCACCCCTGGGATCCATCAGCCAACATTTACCTCCAGTGGCTGACAGAAGTCTAAGGACAGACACTTGCTTCATCAGCTGAGAATAAGAAAATGTGTTTACGACACCGTGTCTAAGGGTATTAAGTGGCTTATGTAACTACTTCCAGTTCCGTGTGCATTCAAAAAACAAGCATAAATGTACCACTTGTTATTGATTACGCCAAATATTTTATGAAGGCTGTAGGACATGTGATAAATTATTCAGCAGGACTGCAGGAAAAAACTAAAAACAGGAACCAGTTAGTATCAACCTTCATAACAAGTTTCCTGCCACTAAACTATTGGCCCATTTATATAGATGGTAGATTAAACAGTAGAAACACCTCTCAGTATAACACTACCTTCAACAGCACCGAGCGGTTTGAACAGAAACGTTAGCACCTTCATGTAGGCTTCAAACAGTCCGATCATAAGACTGTTTGAATAGAGTGTCAGTTTGAGCTAGAAAGCCAAACCTAAAGCTGGCTCGATTTCAGACAGTCAAACACTAGCAGTTTACTTTCATTTGACACAGCTTACTTATTTTGATTTTGTTCTTATGTTATCTAAATGTCAGTGTCTTCCAGGCTGTGATATCTGCTCTACTCAGTGACAGACTTCAGTTTCCTCAGCAGAGATCAAAGAACAAAATTATGTAACAGCTATAAAAGCTGTTCTCTCCAGCCCACTACTAACCAAAGGATATTGTCATTATCATTATCCCCTGCTTGTATAGATGAGGATCAGCTTAATAGCAGAAGTACTGAGCCTGTGGAAACAGATGTGTACTGTGGCTCTGCAGGAGCTTGGTCAAGTCTGATGAAATATCCCTGATAACAGGTAGCTGCAAGCGTTGGAACAAAGACTCCAAAAGTCAAAAAACTTTACAGCATTGACTTGAAAAATGGTTGGCACAAATATGAACCGCAATTGTTGTTAAGGAGCTAAACTGGTAAGTAGTTATTAATAAGAGAACAAAGTGTATTATACTGACATAATGGGCCAAAAGAAATTATTAGTAAAAGACTACTCAAGGTTCTAGTACCCTACATCATACACTTAGATGAAAATCCAATAATAACACTAATACAAATTAAAATAATATTCATAATAATTTAAACTCTTAAATTAAATGTATTAAATTCTATTATTATATTATTTTCCATCGGTGTTGTTTGTGTTTTTGTGCGCGCGTGTGTGTGTTGGGTGGGGTTGCTATGCAGGCCCCTCCTTAGAAGCGCTCTAAGAATAATTCACTCACGATATGTAGGCTGGATAAAGGAAGCCGATGAGGTTACACAGTAGGGAGGCTCCGTAACCAACGACCAAGTACACTGCGATGACACCGATGACAGCTGCAAAAAACACACACACACCAGATGTTAGTCCACAAACACACGATACATAGCAGCGACATAGGATACGTCACTGCTGAATACAATAAAGGGTTATTACTACAGCCTCTCCTTTCCTACATGACGAGGCAGAATGAAGCGGTCTGCCACGCGCTAACTCCCTCCTATCGCTTCCTATGCGATGATCTCCTTGTGTTCTCTGTTCCCATCCCCGCCCTGTCCACACTCACCGACAGCTATGTACGTCCTGCTCACTCCGGTCTTCGCCTCGATCTTTGCGAGACTGTCCGTCATGAGGTTCTTCTCATGGAGGAACTTGCCGAAGCGTTCCTTGAGCCCCTGCGCCATGGCTGCACTTCCTTCTTCAGAGGTGCTGATCAAACTGCGACAACTTCGCAACCCGAACACATCGCCGATCTCTGAGTCAGATAGACAGGATGTACGATACGGCCTCCGACCGTGAGCTTCAAAATAAAAGCACGAGGTCTATTTCATTCTCTACATTTTGGTCAATTAAAACATATCTTTAAATCGTTTTGCTTGTCCCACATCTGGCAATTGGACCGGATAAATGGCTTACATTACATAAGGAATAACCATTATAGACATCAGACCTTGTGTTTTATTCACAAGCCGCTTTTCCCCCAGTCTCAGCTCTAATGTGCTGAGACTGGCCGTCTAGACTGGGAGAAGCTGCTCACTGTTCGCTCAGCGTTGCGTCAAAATGTTGATCAGCTGTTGATAGCACCAGTTAGATATCAAAAATGAACTGAGAGGTTCCAGACCAAAGACCTTTACACACCTGAGGCATAACGAATAAACGGCACGAAAATACTCACCTGCGAATAATTCATATCTGAACTATTCATACCGGCAGCGATGGAAATTTGTGACAAGATTTGAGTAATTTGTAAGAGTAATTTGTTGTCAATAAAAGGTTTTAATAGATTTGTTTTAATAGATTGACCCAGACCAACTTCTGTCTGAGGTCAATTCTTGCCTAAACTACTGTAAGCTGTTTTGATGATTTTACTTTCAGAAAAATGCTCTGAGTGAATTTTAGTTCCCTCTGTTAAATATTTACACTATGTATAGACACTGTACATGTACATATGTACTGAACCCCGAGTTACTCCCCAGACGCTTTACAACACTGCTTCTAAGAAAAGCTTAGGACGGTTAAATTTGAAATTAAGTTGAAGTTCATTGTGAGAATGGAAGGAGTGGATCTGGTATAGGCTGCCTTTGTCAAGATTAAAAGGAGTATGTTTGCCGTCTTGGATGTACAACAACACAGAGGCTCCGTAGTATGCTACGGAGCCTCTGTGTTGTTGTACACGATGGTGTATATTTTTAAAGACGTCTGTTCCACACAACGTCATCGGTAGATGCCTCGATTTGCAGTGCGGAAGCTCCAAATAATTAACCTCATTCAGATAACAAATGACGGCCATGAAGAGGAGTGGGTCCTCTTTATACGTAGAGCCGGCACAAATCCTACACAGTAGACCTTTTTGTTCACATATGAGATCTGGTCTGGTGAGCAAACCCAACCCGCAGTTGACAACTCAAGGTATTGAATATTTGCTGAAACGTGGTAGCTCATTACTGTTCACACTAATAACCACTACAGGTGCGTGTTCAGTTGTTGATCTAGTCATTTTTACATGCATGAAAATGGTTGTGTGAGTATTTACTGTGAAGGTACGTGGAAGTAAACGTGGACTCATACAGCTATAGTAACTGGCTAGCCTTAGACTGGTGCTCATTATTTATAGAGAAACAGAGGGTGTTTTCCCCTGACTTCAGTCTCACAGGCATTGCATACTCCCACACTGTACTCTTGAAACACTCTACCCATCAAATCCTTTGACTCGTGGGTTATTAGGCTTAGACAACCTGGTCAGGTTCGGGAATGCAGAGAATAATTTCCCCACTGTGGGACTAATAAAGGAATGTTTCTTCTTCTTTCATTAGAGCTTCTGGAGAACAGACTGAGTACCTTAGAGGAATAACTCCTGAGAGTTTAAAGTCAGGGCACAAATAATTTAACAACATCACTGAGCCCTCTGCAGCAACACCCTTCCGTCCTTTGATGACATTGCAAAATACAACTACTGGCATAAAATTCGATTATTGCAAACATACTGCAGTGGGCTGATCTACAGGCATCTTTTTTTAGGTGGAGAAGAATTCTAATGAGTACTTTTTAGTGGTACAATAATTGTCCATTTGCTAATCTATAGTGTATTTGTTTGTTCGTTTTCTCTACACAATAAATATCCCTAGGTTTGGATCACTTGCTCTTCTGTTTTGTGCCAAGGCACATAATTTGTGCTGCTCTGTACTTCATTATATGGTGCTGAGTCTCAGCATTTTTTTGTGATGTGTTTACATCCATATTGGATCATCCACAGTGTAGGAATTGCAAGTCTTTGCAAACAGTGGGCACCAGGGTCAGAAACTATAGATATATAAAATATTTTGTAATCAGTGATCCTAAAGGCTGAAGGCCCACAGAGACCAGCAGCAGCCGACCTGTATCGGCTTGTCTATAGTAGCATTGATCCTGACAGTGCATCAAGGTATCGAATCCGAGGCAGAGCCTCTCCTCTTCAGGTCAGGGGTCAGCGAAAGTGAGGGGCCTACGTGCAGAGAGGCAAAGTTAGGAGCAATATAGCGCAGTCTTTAAAGATGGCTCCTTCAAAGACCTATTATACTCATTTTCAGGTTCATACTTGTATTTTCATTTTCTACTGGTTTGCATGCTGTAATGTTCCCAAACACTTTATTCTTATCAAATTGTCTGCCTGCAGAAGCCTGTATTTACCCTTTGAAAAGTTCTGGTTCAGGGCCTGTCTCTTTAAGCCCCCCTCCCAAAAGAGCCCAGTCTGATTAGTCAGCACATCCAGGTCTGCATGTTATTCGATCTCTCTCTGAACAGCTCTACTAGGGGCCGGCTGTCCTCAGCAGTGTGACTCAACACAGAGGTTTAGAAGCACTTTTATACATTTACTTGAATAATAAACTAATAAAAAGCATTGATCGAAAACTAAACACAGCACACATTCCAGAAAGAATCTGATCCAGAGAGAAATGAACATTTGCATGCAAGATAACAGCTTTCCCCAACGCTTCTGCTCCCGTAAACAATGCTATTTATATCTCTGTCCCGTCAGCTCAGTATTTACGTTATGCATCAACTCAGTAAAACTTAAACATACTGTGCTTTACGTCAGTCTTAAAGATACATTTGAATCGATCGACAGGGCCCAGTGAAGAATAAAGCAATCAATGTATCTTTTTATACATCCATGTGAGATACAGAGCTAACATGTTAGCATGTAGCTCACAGAGTCAACAGAGTGACCATCAGTGTGGTGGTGGTAAATAGATGTGAAACACTAGCCAGGTGATAGACATACTAAAGTGATCATATTAATAGTATGTTGATAAGTGTAGGAGCTGTTTTCATATCAACAGAGTAACGACATAAAACCTTTGTCAAATAACATGTTATATTTGTCTTATACCACAAGATCATTCATTGTAAATTTAAAAATGACAAAAACCCAGTTTGATTATAAAGCTCTTTATCCCGAGACTGAAATATACATAGGGTACACATAATGCATAACTTGTATGTAAACTGTCCAGATCATGTAATCCATCAGAGGGTTTTTTGTAGACTCAAGTTGTGTCAGACACTGAAGGAGCTCTCAGGTCAGAGGTGGTTTCTCATACAGTCTGCTGGGTTCAGCAACAACTCACCAGACAGGAGCTTCAAGGACCAAGCATCAGGTCACTCAGATCACCTGTAAAACACGGCAGATTCACTGTTACATTATACTGTCATGTAATAACGTCACGTGAGACTTAACAATGGCGGCAGGCCCGCGATTATTTAACAGGGAATAAGACACACAATGGAGACGCGCTTACACACCACGTGTGTTTGAAATAAGCATAACAGCGCGTATGTGTGTGTGGGTTAGTTTCAAAAGAAGGAGAAAAGAAGAATAAAACACTCAAAACAAGGCAGATCTTCACATCAATTACTGTAACTTTATCACACAGAAGGCCGAGTAGAGAACTCTGGCTCAACAACTGCAGCACTGGACCTTTAACTAATGAAGTACAGTTTACCAACTTTACTCACGGTTGCATATTTAAACACACCAACACTCAGCAGTGTGGAGCAACATTATTAAAGCAGCAACAAGCACAATAGTTATGTTACACAACACTGAACGGGATTGTGCCCAGACAAAAACCTCTTACTTTAGATTGCTTCGTAGTTGTTATTGTGTTCCTTTGGACTTGTTTGGCGGAATTTTTCCTGCCTAGGACCGGGGACCGACCTACGGGTTTAACGGCAAGCTGATGTGGGATAAAACAGCGAATGTCGACTTGAAGAATCTGGTAATTCCGTGATCTTCCTTCTGCAGGTTCAAGTGGTGGAGCACGGGCCAAGTTATCCATTTCTCCTTCAGGATCTAAGAACAGTATGGTGTTCAGCCAGCGAAGTTAGGACTGTTACCTCAGAGGTTTTTTTTGTAAAGGCACCAACGTTCACAATATCTGTGAATCATAACAATCCAGGAACTTTACACTCTGTTCAGCTGGTCGCTACAGACAGTGTTATTACACTTTAATGTATTATTTAGCCTGAGACAACATGACAATAAAACAAGTATTCACATTGCAATGTCTTCTAATAGGCTCTGCGTGGTCAGGAAGCACCGAGAAGACGTTTACAGACTTTACTAATAATTTCTCCTCTGCTCTCTCTCTCTTCTTGCTGTCTCACTCGCTACGTTAATCGTTTTATAGCCAGGACACGTTAGCACATACAAGGGATTTGTCTTGGTGAATAACAATAAACAGTGCAAAACTCTAAAGACAAAATATAAATTATATTATTTTAGCTCATGTCTCTTTCAAGGGAGCCGAGCTTCTCTGTACCACCGGCCTGAACAATTTAGTGACTGGTGCTAACGAATCAAAGTTAACGTTACACAACCAAGAAGAGGAATAACTGTTTGACCATTTGTTTTTCTCATCTGTGCCTTCAGAGCAGTCTTTCAAGTAAATTTACACACTCAACAGAGCAGCAACGCACACATACACACACCAGGAAAAAATGTTTTCCACATTTCAACATACTACTGTCATTATTTAACTGGCTTCATATGAGAGGAATGTCCACACAATCTCTCTCTGTATTACCCAACGTTACTACATTACCCCAGCCTGTGGACCTACAATCGAAGCTAGTCCTCAGATGATGGCAGTAACTTTACTTGAAATACATGAAGACTTTTCTGTTGGTTCATGCAGCCAACAACAGAACAAGTAGCATTCTTTGCTTGAGTTGTGTAAGCAGGTATCTGATAGCCAGAACACCACAATGGTGGACAGCAGTGGATTCTCCAGGTTCACCTTGGGTGGGGTCACCTATAGCATATGGTGGTTTTGCAATACCGCCAAGAAACCCATTGGAACTTCTTACGTAGGAACTGGACGCTATTTTGACCAGCTGATTTTTACACAGCTTCTCAGATAGATGGAGTTGGAGAAAAACATAGAAAGTGCTATTCTCTGACACTTCGAATGACATTAAAAAGTGCATTTTGTATAATAGGTGACATGGCGTTTCAGTGTATCTATTATATAAACAGGCTAAGGGCACATCCAGAATATCTCTCTCGAACAGTTGGTCGAATCCATTTAAAAATCAAACAAACCAACACTCTAAACTCAAGGACAAAAAAAACCACAAATAATTATTCGACCCAACCTTATGATCAATTCCAACAGCTGTGTATCTTCCATAGATAGCTTCTCTTAGGGCTGTATAAAAGGAGGCTAGCACGATTATTTGGGCAATCACGTAGAATTAGGAAGAGGTACTTAACTTGGAGGAAAAGTAAAGCGCACTTCACCCCTCCACAGATCCCCCAGCGCCTCCTCTCAAGTTCCTCTCCCCATCGGCCGCACCGCCCACGTCAATCTGCTGCCAAGCCTCTGTTGCTGGCTTTGTTGATGCTCAGTCACACCGGCTTGTTGTCCGTATTCGTCTCTGGGGGTTATTTGGCTCGGTCACACAAGTCTCTCTTCCTCTCAACGCTCCTTGTCCAACCGACTGGCCGCTCGCCATCTCTCTCCATGCTGTCATCTCTTCTACCCCAGCCCTGCACCCACACCTGAAGGAAATGAACCTGGGAAAGGCCCCACACATCCAAGACAGTGAGCAAATAATGTCCTCTCTTCCCTGAGGTCCTCTCTTCCCGCAATGTCCTCTCTTCCCGCAGGCGACAGGAGGAGGGAGTCAGACCCACCCTGTAGCATTAGTCAAGAGCAATCACCTAATGTTTATTTTTTTAGAGGGAGGGGAAGGAAGGAAAGGAATGTTTCAAAATTCAGATTAGATTTTCTCCCATTTCTTTCATTCGTGGTAGCACAATGGGTCAAGCAGCAGCAGCATGATGATGTGAAGTGTTTTGTCTTTGGAAATCCATTCCGAATAAGTGGATTTAAATGAATCCTTCTATTTACAAGTCTTAATGCAGTAACTTACTGGGAACAATTGACCAATAACTTGCTATAAGTTACACCACAGTGAAGTTACTATAGAGCTAACTGCATACTGTAAAATGAATGACAGTAACTTAAACAGTACTTTAGTGCCGTAGAAGTAAGCACAGTACTGTGCAATGAACTACAGTAGGGCTTCTGTCCGTCATTATTTACTCTTTTTATCACAGCAAAATTCAAATGCAAAAGAAGTTGAACACAGTTCAAGATTAGTAGACAATTTATTGGCACAGAAATCCTACACTAACCTTGACACTTTTAAAAAGTACAATTCATTTGAATGTGAAACTCAGAGGGGTTTCTGCCCTTACATCAAGCCTTTTAAAAACCTAAAAATATTAGCTATAAAAATGTATACTAAACAATACAGTATTAGGAAGTATTATATATGTATATATATATATATATATATATATATATAGTCAGTAAATGATAAGTTATCATGATGTTGTCAAATGTAATCTTGTTAAATGTAGTTTTGGTGAGGAATTAACTCTAAGCAGCTGATAATAAAGCTGCAAATGCTAAGATTTTTAAATCAATAAAAATATAATCTTTTATTTCCACGATCAATTAAATTGTGTGTTTATGCAAATAACCACAGTAGATAACTAATAACAAAGCAAAAGCATATAGCTGATGATGATAATGAATATTTTTGTTCACTAGCTATAGGCCTATTTGAAATATTCTTGTTGATAATCGTAAAAACAATGAAACTGATATTTCCTCTGGAATTAAAGTAATTGAGGTAAATCCAGGCATTTCGATTAGCTTCTCATTATTAGCCAAATCCAGATGTTTGCTCCTAGAAAGACAGCTCTCTAGATTGCGCTCTATTGTGCTCTGATAAAACATGTTCTGTTCGTCACAAAATATTGAAAACAATAACTGCTCAGTAAATTCTGTGTAGACATTTCTGCCACATTCTCTCTCTTAAGGACATTATAGAAACTACAAAAAGACACTATAGAAAATATTAAAGGAAACAAGCATGCAATATTCTCTTAAAGTAGAGCTATTAAGCTGTAGATTAACACCCACTTTTTTTATTACAAATTTTAATTCTGGCCTTAAGTGTGCACAGTACTATGTTAGGGCCATTGCAGGTTAAAAGATAATAATTAAGGAGCCAGGGAGGGGGTAATATTCTGAGGAAAAACTCAGAATTTCCAATATTAGAGTCGTAGATTTATAAGGAAAATACTTGGACACTCTCTGAGATTAAAGTGCGAAACTCCGGTAACGCCAGCCGTCTGAATTTTGTTGTCCATAGTGTTATTATGATAATGATGGCCTCTGAGCAAAGCAAAGGCCCTTAGAGATACATACATGTTTTCCTTCATGTTTTTTCCATGTTCTTTTATGAACATAAATAATTACTAATATTCTATAATATATTCATGATGTTGCACTTGGTTGTACCGTCAAAAAGTGACCCTGCCTTCCTTCCCACACCTGACCAAACGCTATGTAAAGTGGGTGTGATCGTGATAGTGCTTGTTTGGAAAAGTTACACGAACAATCAGATAGGCGAGGGGTTTTCAGACGGTGTATCTGAAGCATACTGATACCTTTACTTTCTCACACTCTTATCTCTGAGTTATCCTTATCTTTACATCTTCTATGCAGTTTTAGACACATTTCCACTCATCTTTCCCCCACAGACGAAGTCTAAACCGTTGCTGTCATTTCCTAAAGATTAATATTTATCATTATTTTGGAAGCAGAAACAACCGGAGATGTCCAGGCAAACTGATACCAGAAATTAATGGATCACAAATTTTAAGAGGCCACGGTATACTGTGTAATGGTTAAATTCTGTGAATTGGACTTCTAGGACTTCTAGGATAAAGTATAATTATTGTTTTTGAGATCTATTACTACAAGAAAAAAATTCATTAATTAATAATTAAAAGCAATTTTGGGACATCTTGCAGCCTGGCAATTCCTGTACTTGAGCATTTTGGGGTATGGGGGCTGGGCTGTAGGGCAGTATACTGACAAGTTGGCTTCGATAGAGGTGTGCTTGCCGCTGGCACAGCCCCATTCGGCTCAGCAACATCAGGATGTCTCTGTGAAATGCCTTTGTCAGGATAGCATAAAAAAATGGGTGTGCACAAGAGTTGAGAGGATAGAAAAGCACCAGCAGCACCTATGGAGAAAAAGATAGATCAGTCTTTATTTTAAACAGAAAACGAAATTGGATTGAAGCTCAAGAGAGTCACACCTTGGAATCTGTGACAGTCATCAATGGTTGGTGGAGAGCCGCAGACAAGCCATAGAAGCAAATGGGAGCCAGACACAGAAAGTTGGTGAAAATTAGAACAGCCATGCGTTTGGCCATGCTGGTATCGCTTCTGCTGGACTGGTGCTGGGGATTGTGCACCATACAGTAGATGTGGAGGTAACATAAACATACCACCATAAAAGCTACGACATTAACCATCAGCACAGAGACCACATAGGCCCGAGCAGCAGTTGTCTCAGTGTCCATGGGTAAGCAGATGCTCACTTTCTGGTAACTGCTCACACCAACCAATGGAAGCACTGCTAGGATCACACACAGCAACCAGCCGACGAGCATAAACACAGCTGCATGGCGTAACCTGATTTTTCTGTCCGCCCTCATTGCGTAGAAGATAGCATGCCAGCGCTGAAGGCTGATTAAAGTTAATGTGTAGACAGATAGCTCGCTGGCAAACACTGATATTGTTCCAGCTAGATTGCAGCCACCTCCTGTTTGCCAGGCAATAGCATAGTGGTAATAATGGGAGCGTGTGTAGAGGTCGACTGACGCAACAAGCAGTAAGTATATCCCCATACAGAAGTCTGCAAATGCCAGGTGACCCAAGAGGAAACGGGTAACGGACAACTTCTGTTGGCTGGTCAGCAGGATGAACATCACCAGGAAGTTGGCTGAAATGGCCAATGGACTGACCACCCAGACCAACACCCTCAGGAAGCCTTGACTCATCACATCCTCACAGGGGTTCAGGGCATCTGGCAGAGGGGTGCACAAGAGTCCATGATTATCTGTGTGAAGTTCATCACACAGTGCAAAGTCAAAACCTTCATTGGGATGCTCTGTAGGTAACTCCACGTAAAACAAACCCTCATTTTGAGACTGTTCAGTTGGGCAAATGGGGCTGTTATAACAATGATTGTGATTTCTGCTGTCGGCAGCTGGGAGACCAAAGCTGTCGTTCAGATGATGGTAGATTTTGTGTCCCAGATACCTCTGAGAGAAAGCTGCAGAGGATTCCTGCAGCTTTTCCAAAGCAGTCCGGGTCAGGTTGCAAATAACTGCTTCAGAGTTTCTTGAAAACAGATGATATGGATTATTGATCAGAGAATGTACTTCATTTTTTTAGGTGCATGCAAATGTTGAAATATTATACTACAAAGTTTTTTGACACCATAAAGTTTCTACAGGATCAAAAATTCCTGAGTGGGGAAAAAAGCAAAAAAGCATTCGGCCGCTAACTTGTAGTCACTTTGTAAATAAGGCGTCAGACATTTATCAGAACCTTCACCGTATACTGTATATATAAAAGAAAAAATGTCAAAGGTCATCAGCAGCAACTGGCAAACTAATTACACTTGTTTAATTGTAAACAAGCAAAGTACATTTTCAGATACCAAAAAAAGAAACTAGATACATAGTCTGACAGAATAATCTGGTTTGCAAGGGAGAACCAGGAATACATATATTAGTGCTGGGCACGTTAACGCATTAATTAATTAACGCCGACAATTATATTATCACGGGTTAATGCAGTTTTTTTATTTTTATTATTAAGCGGACATTTTTAACACAAGAACCAGGCAGCAAGCAGTGAACAGCTGTGTTTGTGTGGCATCGCTTCCTTCTTCCCCCCAGGTCCAGAATCCCTCCTACACTCCGTCACTGTCGTTCACTCTTGTCTCACACACACACACACACACACACACACACACACACACACGCGCGCGCGCGCGATCGTCTCTTTACAGATCAAACGTGACTGTTGTGAAGTGGAGCTTCTAGTGAGGACCAAGACACGTCTTGTTTGAACAGAATACTTTACTGTCTGAACTGCATTACAACAGTGTTACAGTGAACAGAACGCACTCTTGCACCCGACATGTGGTTTTCTACGTATCATCGACATTGTTAGCGTCAAGAACACGTACCATTCTACTTCCTGTTTTCATGCTCTTCACAATAAAAGTAAATCATGCAATCAAACAATTTACAACAGTGACAATATTAAAATACATATTGTCGAGTTTTTAAAGTGTTTTTGTTTGGAATATGTATAATAAGCGTATCATTTAGTTATCGCTACTGAGAATTTAACAAACAAAAAAAAGAAGTAGATAGGTTTGCAGTTTTCAAGGTGTATATTTCAAATTGCATCTATTACACACATGAAAATAAAGTTATGAACACCGGCTGAATATCTATTATCAGAATCATTATAACTGTATAACTGCTACTGTGTAAAGGGAATATTGCTGTTAAAAAGAACCTGATTTGTTTGAAGTGTTTGCAAACCAAATGTTATTGCCCTTTTGTTCATATAGCAGTACTTTTAAAATAAAAGTGCGCAATACACTACTTTTGAATTCATTATTGAACTTTGCGCATAACAATGCAATTATTCGCAAAAAAATCATGCGATTAATCGCGATTAAAAATTGTAATCGTTGCCCAGCACTAATATATATATATATATATATATATATATATATATATATATATATGATAAATAGATACAAAATAAATATAATTTTAAGTTAATTAAAAAGCAGAGAAATTTGATATTATGAAAAGCAATTTTTTAGTTTAGGTTGAAAAACAGTTAAAGAGGCCAATATTGCCAAAAAGGAAAAAAAAGAATAACCTAAGATCATAATTATCACAATGGTCAAAGTTCATCAATCACCAAAATATCACACAATAAGATGTATTCTTTTTGATCTTATGTCTAGGGTTTGATATTACAAATAGAAGAGCTCATTAATCAATATTTGTATGGTTGCCTCGAGAGGCTGCTGGCACACTCTAGTTAGATGTTTAAGGGCTGTCACATTGTTAATAAAGTGCACAAAAATGCACATGATTTTTTTTTTCCCAGTAACTGAACTAATTGAAATCACTCTAGATTGGCCCAGATTGTGCGAGTACCCCAATACATACACTATACTGTGGGCCTTTAGCCTTTGAACTGGCCCTTTAACTAAATGTTTACTCTCTGCCTTCGTAGTCTACTACTGGATATAACTGCCTTATACAGCCTAATCTGTCTGATTAATGTTTTTATTTAATACAGTTTGGTATGTAAAGGACAAATGCTTGACAGAAAGAATAACAGTGGGAAAATATTTCCCAACACTTTTAATTCTCTTAATTACCCTCTCCATCTTTTCAATGTTTTGAGACCGCAACAATGGCTTGGGAAGGTCAATTCAGCAATTTGTAAATGGACAAAGGCCTTGAAGGGGGGCAGTTCTTTGAGGGTCCAAGTGTTTTTAGCTTGGAGCTTTTCAATGGTCTCCAAACCCATTAAAGGAAGAGAGCTAACTTTGGTTTCTGAAAGGTCTCTGGAAAGACAAAAAGTTTAGATTATTCATTTGGACACAAAACTGAGGCAGTTCCGGTATTCAACCTCAGCATACCGCAGTTCCAAAAAAAATAGTTTTTATTTGACGTTAGAATATTATTTGACAAGAAAACACAAAGTAGTTATTTGCTCTATTTTTCCAAGAAGAACACCAATTCCTCTTCTCTCAATTCACTCACAATTGCGTTGGGCCGTGAATCACGCCATAAAATGCTAATTCATCTATTCGTTCCAGATCCATATTCCTGTGAAGATACCTGTAGAATAGATATAAAATAGATAAGTGGCAAAGTAATATGGTCAAAATTGTTCTGTTGTTTTGTACAAACATATACAAAATCCCACATAATCCCACTTTTTTACTTTATCAAAATATATTTTTTAACACAATAGTAGTTCAACATGTCATCCAGCCAGGTTGTTAAAGCTCAAACATACATTAATAAAGGAACCAAATAAGAAAGTTGTAAAGTTGGATGAAATTTAAATATTGGTGAGTGTGTGTGGACTTTGAGCTTTTGTTTTTGTTTCACTGCAACTGTTCAAAATGGCATACACTTCCTCCAATCTGCTCCCATTGAAGGCATATTGCTGGATCTCTTTCACACCATTGCTATTCAGCATGCTACAAAAAGAGGGGGGTGGGGGGGAGAGAGAAAATATCCCATGAACCTTCCATTAACTCCATTTTTATTAAAAGTGGAAAATAAGTTCCATGTCTATTTGTAAACATTGTAGCAACTTCATAACTGTGCACTATGTAATAACTACACATAATGTAATAATTTAAATGGAATAAAAGCTCATAATATAACAATCAGCACATAATGTAAGAAATCCATCAGCGCAACTCAATAACAATTTTGTGCATAATGTAATAAGTTATTACATTACGAGAAAAGTATTACATTATAAACTAAGCAAAACAATGTTATTAAATTTGAAATAAAATAATATATTAATCTGTTCGGCACTTAGTGTGGTAATATTAAAAAGGAGTACTCTCCTTGTCTTCTTAAAGCATAGGAATGCTTCTAGTTTGACACAAGTGGAGTCCTAAAATTAAAGCAACTTGATTTTGTTTGTTTGGTTTGGAGGAGATTCTAGACTCTCTCAATCTTGAATGTGTGAACAAATTCAAAACAATAAAATATCCCGTGACTTGGACAAATGAGCCTTTAAGGAGATGAAGCTGAATATAATATACTGGGTGATTGTTAGCATGTACAATATTTATTCCATACATAATTAATCCATTTACTTTAATATGGCATTTAATGGCACAGACATAAAAAACAGGCACATGGTAATGGTAATGTGTAGCACTTTTCGAGTCTTCCGACCACTCAAAGTACTTTAACACTACATGTCATCATTCACCCATTGACACTCATTCATACACTGATGACCATGCAAGGTGCGACCTGCCCATCAGAACTAACTAACATTCCTACAGCAATTTGTGAATTAAGTTTCTTGCCCAAGGACACATCGACATGGACTAGCGGAGCAGGGGACTTCTGATTGAAGGACGACCCACTCTACCACTAAGCCACAGTCACCCTTGATACAAACAGGATATCACAGCTTTTTTGTTGCCGCCTCACAGCTCATCGCTTGTCCTTGAACACAGTTTTACGCGGAGTGGCCATGCAACTGCGTAGTAATGGAATGGAAGGACAGGGAATTGTGACTGGGTTATTTTTTCCAGTTCTACGTTGTTCCTCATCCTTTCATGGACGTCAAGGAGGGAAATCTATCCTCCCAGAAGGAGATGGATTATCTCTCAGCAGAGATCTAAGACCTGTTACAGAAAGTTTGTGTCTGTCATGACAGACAGAAATGGTTTTACTCTGCAAACTTCTTGGTACCGAAGAAGACGGCAGATTTCAGACCCATTTTGGAGCTCCGTATCCTAAACCAGCCTGCAAGATGTTCTGTATGTGTCAGGATCCCTGTCAGACCAGACACCTCCCATGGCCACACAGCTGCAGCCACTCCAGCCGATTACCTCCTGCAGGCTGACACACCAGACTCAGGTCCCACTAACGCTTCCCCTGGCACTATATAAACTCTGGTCCTGCAGTCTGGGGTTGTCAGGTCGTACCGTCTTTCACCCGCTTCAACCCCGTTGCATCTTCTGCCTCGAGCGCCTGCCTCCGGTGTCCGGCGGTCTGGGAATCCCCCGTGCCCTCCTTTGTGTTTACGGACTACTCACCACTGCTCTGCCCTCCGTGGTGTTAACGGACTACACACCGCTGCTCTGCCCTCCGTGGTGTTAACGGACTACACACGCCGTCAAGCTACCAGCCCTCCGGTGTCGAGCCACGGGACTCACACCGTCAATCTGCCTACTCTCTGGTGTCGAGCCATGGGACATCACGCCGTCAAGCTACCAGCCCTCCGGTGTCGAGCCACGGGACTCACACCGTCGATCTGCCTACTCTCTGGTGTCGAGCCACGGGACTCACACCGTCGATCTGCCTACTCTCTGGTGTCGGACCACGGGCTCCACACCTTCCTGTCTTCTCTTTATTCAGGCTAAATAAAACCTGTTTATATCAACTTCTGTCTCCTGTGGTCTTGCGATTGGGTCCTAACCCGTGAACTCCTGTGACAGAACGACCTGACCATAATGGACCCAGCAACCACAGGAGCAGCTACGCTGTACAGGCCTAACAGTCTGCTGGAGGAGATGAGAAGTTTCGCTGCTGAAGTTTCTCAGATTAGCTGTTTCGTGCAGGAACTAGCCCGGACAGTCAAGTCTCCACCAGTTCCAGCACCCGCACTATCCCCTCCTGTCCTCGCTCCGCCGGTCTGGGAATCCCCCGTGCCGGCTCCAGATCCCTATGACGGAACACTGAGGAAGTGCCAGGGCTTCCTGTTGCGATGCCAACAGGTATTTGACCGTCAGCCTCAGACTTTTGACTCGGACGGGTCCAAGGTCTCCTACGTGGTTGCATTACTGTGGGGAAGGGCTTTGGACTGGGCCGCAAGAACATTAAGTTTTGATCGGCCAAATGCTGTGCTTTTTGTGGACTTTGTGGAGGATCTGAGGAGGGCTTTTGACCCTCCGGTGGACTCAAATTATATGGCTCAGCACCTTCTCAGCCGGACACGGGGCCAAGCAAGTGTAGGGGAACACTCGGTGGTCCGGCCAACTCCGGCTCCCCGTATTCAGATGGCATTCCGGCCGACACCGTATCTAGCTGCCGCCTCTGCGCCGCAGCCAGCTCCTGTTCCTGCCGCCTCTGCGCCGCAGCCTGTTCCTGCTGCCTCTGCGCCGCAGCCAGCTCCAGTCCCGGCCGCCGCCGTCTCCGAACCGCAGCGACCTCCAGTCCCGGCCGCTGCCGTCTCCGAACCGCAGCGACCTCCAGTCCCGGCCGCTGCCGTCTCCGAACCGCAGCGACCTCCAGTCCCGGCCGCCGCCGTCTCCGAACAGCAGCGGCCTCCAGTCCCGGCCGCCGCCGTCTCCGAACCGCAGCGGCCTCCAGTCCCGGCTGCCGCCGTCTCCGAAAAGCAGCGGCCTCCAGTCCCGGCCGCCGCCGTCTCCGAACAGCAGCGGCCTCCAGTCCCGGCCGCCGCCGTCTCCGAACAGCAGCGACCTCCAGTTCCCACCGCTGCCGCCTCGGAGCCGCATCGACCTCCAGTTGCCGCCTCGGAGCCGCATCCACCTCCAGTACCTGCCGCCGCTGCCGTCTCGGAGCCGCATCCACCTCCAGTGTCTGCCGCCGCTGCCGTCTCGGAGCAGCAGCGACCTCCAGTTCCTGCCGCCGCTGGACCAGCATCCTATTCCCCGGAGCCCCGACTCAGAGAGTCCGAGTCCAGCCCGCCTGAGCACCCGTGTCCGGAGCCCTTCTGTCCGCCCGGCCGTCCGCTGGAGCACCCGTGTCCGGAGCCCTTCTGCCCGCCCGGCCGTCCGCTGGAGCACCCGTGTCCGGAGCCCTTCTGCCCGCTCCGGCCGTCCGCCGGAGCACCCGTGTCCGAAGCAAGTCCGGCCGTCCGCCGCAGCACCCGTGTCCGAAGCAAGTTTGGCCGTCCGCCAGAGCACCTGTGGCCGAAGCTCTTCTGCGGCCCCGTGATCCAGTCACCCATCCTCCGGACCCCCTCCGCCCACCCTGGTTGGCTTTGTATCTGCTGGGACGTCCCTCCTCCGGACCCCCTCCGCCCTCCCTTGATTGTTGTTCTGGACGGTGTAGCTTCGTCTGGAATCCGTTCCTTGAGGGGGGGGGGGGTACTGTCAGGATCCCTGTCAGACCAGACACCTCCCATGGCCACACAGCTGCAGCCACTCCAGCCGATTACCTCCTGTAGGCTGACACACCAGACTCAGGTCCCACTAACGCTTCCCCTGGCACTATATAAACTCTGGTCCTGCAGTCTGGGGTTGTCAGGCCGTACCGTCTTTCACCCGCTTCAACCCCGTTGCATCTTCTGCCTCGAGCGCCTGCCTCCGGTGTCCGTCAGTCCGGGAATCCCCCGTGCCCTCCTTTGTGTTTACGGACTACTCACCGCTGCTCTGCCCTCCGTGGTGTTAACGGACTACACACGCCGTCAAGCTGCTAGCTCTCCAGTGTCGAGCCACGGGACATCACGCCGTCAAGCTACCAGCCCTCCGGTGTCGAGCCACGGGACTCACACCGTCAATCTGCCTACTCTCTGGTGTCGAGCCATGGGACATCATGCCGTCAAGCTACCAGCCCTCCGGTGTCGAGCCACGGGACTCACACCGTCGATCTGCCTACTCTCTGGTGTCGGACCACGGGCTCCACACCTTCCTGTCTTCTCTTTATTCAGGCTAAATAAAACCTGTTTATATCAACTTCTGTCTCCTGTGGTCTTGCGATTGGGTCCTAACCCGTGAACTCCTGTGACAGTATGTTAATCAAGTGTTTACCGGAACTGGTTCAGCTGGGCAATTGGTTCACCACTATTAACTTCAAAGCGCTTACTTTCAGGTCGAGGTGGCTTTGAAACACAGGATACTCTTGAGTCTCGCCATCCAGCATTCGCATGCAAAAGACTGGCATTGCACTGGCCACCTGCACCTTCAGTAGATCTGTGGACATTGCACTTCAGTTGTTGCATGACCGAACAATGAGGATCTCCTTTTATCTTGAAGACCACAGAGAATGGCTACAGGCAGTTCTTGGTCCTCCAACACTTCAGGCCCCTGATACTAGGCATGCACATGTTGGTGAGGAGCAACAACAGCACCACGGTGTCCTACATCAACAGGCAGGGCAGAGGGCCGCATTACTGTGGATGGTTGAGAGGCTGTGGATATGGGCTTTATAGCACATGATGGGGTTTCCCTGATCATGAAAGCCCTGACTGTTCCTCAGTTCTGGGGGGCTCTGGGGGGCCCCCCAGAACTGGGGGGCTCTGGGGGGCGATGGGTACAATAGCTAAGCTGCCCAATCTGGGCCGTCCTTTCCAGCCTTGGCTCCTGAGAGGGAAAGGATGGGGAGGGCTCGACAGTCTATACAGTCTGTGCAGACCATCCCGGCGGTAAGAGCGGTATCTACCATTGCCTGTTACACGGCAAAGTGGTCAGGGTTCAAACGCTGGTGCAAGGAAAGGAATGTATTAATTGTTCAGGAGTCAATTTGTGAATGGTTTACA